ATCCTCATTTAGCATTATATTCATCGGTACAAAAATACGCCAATGTCTGTTATGAGGCCACAATGGTAAAAAAATCATTCGAAGTCACATAGCAGATAATACACACATAGGAAGAGATGAACGAATCAAGGCATCCTGGTGGAGTCCGAGTATACATCCCCTGGTACGAATGCGGATTATTGTTTGATACGTCACTGGTGTCAAGTAGAGAAGCAAACTTTCCATTTCAGCGGTTCTTTGGACTTCTTTTATTGGTAAGCTGTTGCATTCCAGATTAAGGCTTTTCCAAATATCAACTCTCGATTCTGGTTCCCTTGGAAGAAAGTTCAGGGGTTATTGGTTCAAAACCTCGAAAGTTAATTCATCCTATGGTTAAAAAATACATGTCTTCCGTATCTGACAATCGATCTATAGACAAAGAGTATTCACCAATCCCATTGATCACAAGGTTTAAGAAATACTAGATTGGATGTTCCTCAGGTATTTCTGTTTTCTTTTATTTTCAACCAGATATGAGTGAACACTCATAAGGAAGTGGGCTCGTTTGCTGCTGCCTCTTGTTTTATGGCTTAATTATTGAGATCTTCTAGTCTGACACTTGATTAGTACGCAGCGTGCCAAACGCGTGAGAGGGAAGAAGAGATTTAATGAGGATTTACACTCGAATGAGTTTACTTCCATTCGAAATCTTGATGCCACAGATAATGAGATCTTTTGAGAATCATTTTAGCAGCAAATTTAATGACTGCATGGAGACAGGGACGAAATCAGAGTGGAATCCGGGTGAATCCTAGTTTTGCTGGGCATAGCACTTGGGTGAAGGACATGAGCGATCCAATTAATAATAGTTGCTCTATCACTTCGAACACACTTTATAGACAAACAATACTCAGTTGAGTAAGTGCTCATTACCAGTCGTGATGGACTAAGGTCAAGGGTTTGAAGAAAATAAAAAAGAACAATAAAGTTAGACCGGATTCGAAGATAAATGAATAAATGTAGATTTTAAATCTGCCATCTAAGACAGCCCGGACATATATCTTGGGGAAGGAAAAAGCTGATATACAACAATCCGAAAAAACAGCTAGGGTTTTGTTCTTTGGGAGAACAATTTTGCAGGGTGCCATATAGAAAAATCCCAGTCGGTCTGCTGAAGCCAAAATGAAAATGGCAAAAACGCGAAAGAATAACTCAGGCATAAGAACAGCCATGACATACATGTGAAAAAATCTTTGATGAACTTAGTGGTAAAATTTACCTCTGGAAGAATGGCATAGTCAGACAGAAAGCAAATGATGAAAGGTGTTCACATCATCTATGATCCCCTATGTCCCTGGAAAGTCAAACAATCTTTTATTTATTTCATTTTACTTCCTTTTATTGAATACACAAAGATAGAATTTTCAGGAAAGGGGAAGCGGCAAATCCAAGTGTAGCGAGAAGGCGAGCTGGCTGGGAAAAACGTCTATTGATAAAATTCAAAAGCAAACAGTGTATGCGTTCGATTATACACAGTCGATTCTCTGTGGGTTATTCCTTGTTGGTTTCGGTCCGCACTTGTCAAGTACGTTGCCTCTTCTTCCGCGTGCCATTCCGACTGGTTTGACCCGATCGCAGCGCGAGATGCGTTGATCGACAGCTCCGATGTTGTGGCATTCGGTGGGTATCTTTCCCGTTAGCTGCGGACTGTCTGTCGGGCTGTAATTGTCGATTCGCTTGTTTCGGGTGGCAGTCAACATTGTCTCGCGAGGCACTTATCGCCGCAGCGTCTGCGCGTCTGGTCGGATGAGCCCCATTCTTGATTCGGTCGCTAACCAGGACTCTCTTTGTACTGCCTTGCATCACACTCGCCCCTTCTCTAAAAGGATTGCCGCGGGTGTACCACGGTTCCAATTCTTTACCATTTATCCATAATCCTTGAGGACCCGGAATGATCCGAAAACTGTCGTTCTTCCTCTCCAGAACGGTGAATGGCCCCATCCACCGCTGCTTCAGCTTTCCGGCCCCCGGTCCTGTTGTTTCGGGTCCGCCTTGGTTCTTAACTTCTACCACCTGTTCCGTTACAACGGCTGCCACTTTTGTCTTTGGTGTTATTTGTCCACCTTGCCTTGTTGCGCTGCTGGGTTTGCCTGGTTTTCTCAACCGCTTCTCTCTCCAGCTTGTTTCGCTCCTCCATGGAAAGCTGTTCACCGGATTTTCCGAGTAGCGCATCTGGGTTCTCCACCGTATATGATTTCGAAGGGTGGTATCTCTGTTATGGAATGAGATGTTATTCTATTGTTGAAAAGTATCACCGGTAGGCTTCCTTCCCAATCACGGAATGGTTATTGACCCATTCCTTCATTGTTCTGTTAAAACTTTCAGTCATTCCGTTGGCTTGCGGATGATAGGGGGACGTTCTTGTTCGTTTGATGCCCCAGCGCTTTAAGGTCTCCCGAAAATTCTTGGATTCGAAACACGGTCCCTGGTCTGTAGTGACATTTTCCGGGATACCGAATCGTGCAACCACGTTGTCTATACATATCCGGGCAACCGTTTCTCCTGTATGAACTGAGGTTGGTATCGCCTCCACCCAGCCAGATACGAGTTCGATTATCACGACAATGTACTCGTTCCCGCTTGGACTAATAGGCAGAGGTCCAAACACATCCAATCCTCAGGTTTGAAGTACTCTCTGTGTGTCTATTGGTTGCGCTGGCGGTGTTGATGTCTTTATTATATTGACACTCGGGGCAAGAACGGATGTATTCAATTACATCCCGGCGCATCGTTGGCCAGAACACGCGACGTCGTTGTGCGTAGAGAACTCGTTGTCGTCCCACGTGTGCTCCATCTTGTGCACGCTTCAACACCCGTTCGCGAAGGCCGGCTGGGATGAATGGCAGTCGCCTAGGTCTCAGTCCGCGTTCCTTGCCCACNTCAACCATCAAGGCCTCATTGTTCACCTGCAGGCAATCCCAGAGCTTTAGTAATTCTCCTATTTTGGGTGAAGTTTCTTCCGGCTTGGTTTCTGACTGCAGATGTTCACAGATCGTCCGCACCAGGTCATGTTCTTTCTGATATTTATTAATTTCCACATCGCTCGAAACCAGCCGGGAAACTGGGATGACCTCCAATGGGACAGCTTCCTCGTGGGTCGGACGCGACAGGAAGTCGGGAATCCCGTTATCCTTGCCGTCAACATGTTCAATGGTAGACGTAAATTCCTGAAGACAATACGCCCATCGCGCCAGTCTTCCTCTCGGG